TGGGACGGCCCATGGCGCGAGGCGTGCGGGGAGTGCGCTGGACGCCCGCTAAATACGCCGACGACGCCGACGCCGACGCCGACGCCGCCGCCGCCGCCGCCAACGACGACGACGAAGACGATGACGACGACGACGACGACGACGACGACGACAACTTGGCAAAGAGCAGGAAGAGGGGGTTCAGGCACCCTGGAGCCCCATGAGGCACTCCGAGGCCCACTGCGTTCAGGGCCGCCGTCGAGTGTTGATCGCTGGCCCTCCGCCTTCTTCCCCCGCGGTCTGCCAGCGAGTCGGCGTCCCCCGCAGCTCGCCCATGGGACGGCCCGTGGCGCGAGGCGTGCGGGGAGTGCGCTGGACACCCGCTGGGGGCTGCGCGCTCTTTCCCGGGGCCCCCGTCCGCCGCCCTCTTCCCCCTCCGCGGCCGCCACCTCGTGCGGGCGCATGCAGCGCCGGCGCTCCCCGGCCCTGCCGCCCTGGCGGCCCCGGCGGCTTCTGTGTTGCCCGGCTGCTGCGCCGCTGCTGCGCGGCCCTGCCCAGCACCAGGTTTTGCTGGCCGGCGTGGAGCCGGGCGACGTCGGCCAATCCTGAAGGAAACCACGCCAACGAGGAAGCTGAAGACGAAGATCAACTACAGTCCTTGCCAAAGAAGTACGCATATGAAGAAGGAGCCGACGTAGATGATGGTGGTCAGCCTCTCTGCCATGTGGTGGGAGGATGGTCCACCCAGGAGTTGGGCGACGTGATCTGCGACGATCTCTCCACTGCCTGGAGGTTCTGGCCTTTCGGCCACGATGTTGTGCCGTGGTCACCTCCTGGCACTGCACGGTTTCCCCCGGGGCCGTAGGCGACCCGAGGAGGAGGAGGAGGAGGAGGTGAAGGAGGAGGAGGTGAAAGAGGTGGAGGAGGGGGAGGGGGAGGGGGAGGGGGAGGAGGAGATGGAGGAGGAGGAGGAGGAGGAGGAGGAGGAGGAGGAGGGACGAGGAGAAGGGACGAGGAGGAGTAGGAGGAGGAGGAGGAGGGACCAGGAGGAGGAAGAGGAGGAAGAGGAGGAGGAAGAGGAGGACGGGTCGCTTAAGCCCTTCTGAGAAACCATCCACCTGGCACGCGCGGCGCACAACGCCGCCTCGATCACGGTCGGTCCCGTCACGTCCTTTGGCTGGCTCCAGCCGGGCCCTGACCCTGGCCGATTTCGCTACGTGATACTGCTTCGGCTCTCTGCCCGTGGTTGCTTGCGTGTTCGGCCCCTGGTGTGCGCGATCGCGACACGTGTGGTCGTCAAGCTGGACCCCTGCACTGTTCTTGCAACCTGGACTGTCCTTCGCATGACTTTATCTGCGCAGCCACACTTGAGTTGCGACCTTGGCAATTCATGAACCCGCCGAACCCTGGTACGCTGGTTCGCCTTCCGTGTTGCTGCTCGCGTAAGCCTGTGTTCTGGCACAAACACGTGGAAGATCCGTCGCCTGCGGTCTCCTCCCCCCTCCCTCGGCGTCCTTCCTCCGTGTTGTGCAACATTCGGCACCTGTGCGTCCCCCGCTGTCCCTGACCGCGGCGTGGAGCAAAGTCGCCGCCGGCATGAAAACCCCTCCCGGTGACTCCCGGCGGCTCCGACGCTTCCCGCTCCCACCAGTGCAGCGAGACTGCCCCCTCACCCTCGTTCTCGTCCTCCTCCCCATCCTTCCGTTCCTTCCATACCTTTAGGTCGGGCATGTCCCTCTACAAGGGGATTTTGGACGAAAACTAAAAATAGTCAAAAAACATTTAAACAAAATCCCAAAAATAGCCCAAAAATCGCCCCCATACCATTTTTCTACTATGTTTGAATCTTCATCCTGTAGAGGGACAGGCCCGACTTAACCACCATACCTTCCTACTCCACATGGGCGACTCCAGAAATCCGGAATACCAACAACAACAACAACAGCAGCAGCAGCAGCAACAACAACAACAACAACAACAACAACAACAACAACAACAACAACAACAACAACAACAACAACAACAACAACAACAACAACCAACAACAACAACAACAACAGCAACAACAACAACCACCACAACAACAACAACCAACAACAACAACAGCAGCAGCAGCAACAACAACAACAACAACAACCAACAACCAACAATAACAACAACAACAACAACAACAACAACCACAACAACAACAACAATAACAGCAGCAACAACAACAACCAACAACAACGAACAATAACAACAACAACAACAACAACAACAACAACAACAACAACAACAACAACAACAACAACAACAACAACAACAACAACCACAACAACAACAATAACAACAACAACCAACAATAACAACAACAACAACAACAACAACCAACAACCACAACAGCCAACAACCACAACAACAACAACAACAACCACAACAACAACAACAACAAAAGCTGACGTCTCGCTCTTGCTGCCGCCGACCTCCGCCGGCGGGCCCGCCGCGGTGCTCGGCTGTTCCGCCAGCCTCCGCCATCCTTCCCGCCTGCCTCCGCCGAGGGGCGAGGCCCCCTCTGGAGCGCGCCGCGTGCTGCCTTGGTCTGCCTCACTCCTCGCCCTTCCCCTTCCCTGGGCATCCCCACTTGCTCGCGTCCCCGCCATCCGCCCCCGTCTGTCGCCACTGGTGGCGCTTTCGGGACCAGCTCCTTCGTGAGAGCGTAGCCGAACCTGCGGCAGAAGGCCACGTACTGCTCGGCGGCTTCCTGTGGATCCCTCGCCGTCATGCGACTCTGGCTCTGAGTCTTCCTCCGATTCACCCTTGCAGTCTAGACACGACGACGTTGTAGCGAATGTACCGCGAGAACAGCTACGGATCCAACACGGTTGGGAGACACGAGGCACTTTCGATGACGCAGCGGGAAGGCGAAGGCGGGGAACACGAGGTTTTTTGCTGCCACTTTGGACTTCCTCAGGGCCCTCAAGACCTCGCGAGGGGCGTTCTGGACGTAGGGCGGGTTCTAGAAACCATGAGCCACACTTGATATTGCCACGAACCCCGACCTTGGAGGACAAGTGGGCGTGACTTGCGAGAAAAAAAACCTGATAGTGCCACGAACCCCGACCTTGGAGGACGAGTGGGCGTGAGCGAGGAAGAGAAAAACGAAGAAGAGGATGCCTATGCGGCGCATAATGCTGATTCCAATGTTGTCCGTTTGACGCTGCGCCGCTGTAAGGCGCACTATGCTCTCCGACCATCTTGGAGCCCTGTTGGGTAGTCTTCTGGCCCTGGGGCAGCTCCGGCCGTCTCGGGGCCCTCTTAGCGTTCCTGGGGCCTTCTTGGGCCGCCTGGGAGGCTCCTTGGGCCGTCTTGGGGGCGTCTTGGGCCGTCTGGGCGCTCTCTTGGGGGCCTCTCAGGCCGTTTTGGGGCGATCTTTGGGGCCTCTTGGGCCGTCTTGGAGCGTTGGGAGGTCGATAAGGCGAAAACGCGAAAAACCTGAAAGAATCCATAGGAAATCAATGCTGGGAAGCCTCCTAGGGCGTCTTGGGGGCTGTCTGGGCCGTGTGGGAACCATCTGGGATGGTCTGGTCCGATCAGTCGGGGATTCGTGACCCCCTTGGGCCATCTTACGGACCATCTTGGGGCTGCCCGTGCCGCCCGGAAGAGCGTCTGCCAAATTGCGGCCGACTTCCGCCAGCTTCCACTGGCGTTCCGCCCGTGGCTGGGGCCAGATTTCGAGGGGTACCCCCCCAGACCCCCCCACGGGAACACGCAACGGGAACCCCTCCGCAAGGTCGGGGAAGCAAAGAAGAGGCTGTCTACTGGGCCCATAGTGCTGGTCCCCGTGTTGTCCGTTTGACGCTGTGCACTTTTACGGCGCAGTATGCTTGTTCTCGAGTTGACCGTCTGAGGCTGTGCCACTTGTCGGGGCATCTCCGACAATCTTGGAGCCCTGTTGGACAATCTTCGGGACATGGGACGTCTCCGACCATCTTGGGGCCCTCTTAGGCAGTCTGTAGGCACCAGGAGGCCCCCAAGAGCCTTCTCCTCCTCCTCCTCCTCCTCCTCCTCCTCCTCCTCCTCCTCCTCCTCCTCCTCCTTCTCCCTCCTCCTCCCTCCTCCTCTTCCTCCTCCGCCCTCCTCCGCCATCCTCCTCCTCCTTCCCCTCCTCCTCCCCCCCTCCTCCTCCTCCCTCCTCCTCCTTCCTCCTCCTCCTCCTCCTCCTCCTCCTCCTCCTCCTCATCCTCATCCTCATCCTCCTCCCCCCTCCTCCTCCTCTTCTTCTCCTCCTCCTCTCTTCTCCTTCGTCGTATGATCTTCTTACTAATAGTTTTTCTTCTGAACACTATTACTATTCCTCCTCCTCCTCCTCCTCCCTCCTCCGCCCCCCCCCTCCTCCCCTCCTCCTCCTCCTCCTCCTCCTCCTCCTCCTCCTACCCTCCTCCTCTCCTCTCCTCCTCCCCTCCTCCTCCTCCTCCTCCTCCTCCGCCTCCTCCTCCTCCTCCTCCTCCCTCCTCCTCTTTCCCCTCCTCTTTCCTCCTCCGCCTCCTCCTCCTCCTCTTCCTCCTCCTCCTCCTCCTCCTCCTCCTCCTCCTCCTCTCCCTCGTCCTCGTGCTCCTCCTCCAGCCGTTCTGGCCCAAGGTTTCCTGGGCTTGCAGTCACTGATCTTCAGAACGGCTGTGTGACTGCGAGCCATTTTGGCCACGGTCATTTCTAAGACAAGTTCGCTCCACACTTCCCTCGCGCCATGCACCGCGGCCGCGGCGGAGGGGCTGCGCCGAGGTACGGACCGCCAGCTCGTGGAGGGCGGTGGCCTGCGGCGCCGTGGCGCGAGGCCGCGCAGTCCCGCTGGGAGGCGTCGGCCGCCTATGGCGGCGACGGGCGCAGCAGGGGAGGCCCCCCGCCGCGCCCGCAGTCCCGCCCCCGACGGTGGACGTGCGGCCTGTGCGGATGCAAGAAGAACGAAGACAAACTCAATCATTGCAAGCATTGCAAAGCCGATCGGGCCGAAGGAGAAGAAGCAGCAGCACTGGGCGCTCTTCGTGATGACGATGATGCTGCCCCTCGGTTTCCTCCTTGGCGCCCAGCTGCTGGACGTGGAGGTGCTCGCCAGGTCGTGGATCTCGGCGATGCTCCTTCAGCTCCTGGTAGTGCTCGCTCTCGTGACAACAGCAGAGTTCGCTTCCAGTGAGATGTGTCCAAGCAGGAGTTGGAGAAGCTCATTTCACTCTCGGAGAAGGCGGGCGACCAGGTCGCAGTCGAGAAGTACAAGCAGCAGCTGGCAGATCATGAACAATCTCAGGCGCCTACCCCAGTGCAGCAGAGGGCCTCCACGGCTCACTCGCGGGTGGTGGCCTTGGAAGATCGGCTACAGCAGAAGACGGATAAGCTCGAGGAGTTGCTGGGCATGGTCTCTAGGCAAAAGGCTAGAGTCATCGAAGTGCAGCAAGAACTCGACAAGGCGGACAAATATTACTGTGATATTGTTGCTGAGTTGGCGGGCGGCATTGTGCAACCGAAAGCTCCCACCACCGCCAAGATATGCCGCTCGCGCCTGGTCAACAGCGAGATCAAGCCTGAGGAGCTTTTCGACACCGCCGCTTTCTTTGACGTGCACGGGTACGAGGCTACGGACGACGATAAGGCAGAGATTGGTCGGTGCATGGGTACTATGCAGGAGGCTCTTCAGAAGTGTGCAAAAGAGTTATTATCTGGGGCACTTGCTAGTGTCGAGAACATCAAGAAGGAACACGCCGACCACATCAGCAGGATGGGCAAGAAGCGGAAGACTGGCGAGGATTGCGGACCCAGCGCAGGCAGGACTTCATCGGCTCCCCCTCCGCGCTCGCAGGCTCCAGCTACAGGACCTCCAGCGGCAGGGGCGGCACAGGCGAATCTCAATCATGCTGTGCCTCATTGTAGCGTATTGGACAACGCAGCCGCTGAAGCCGATGCTGAGGCTTTCCTCAACGGTAGCCAGCCTGCCTCGGCAGGCGGAGGTGGAGCCTCTGCCGCCAGGAAGGCCGCCGACGTGCGCTCCCGAGCCAGGGAGCTGGTGGAAGCTGACACGGCGTCGGCTGCAGACAAGCGCACGAATTCTGAGCCCCCGCCAAGGTAGCTATCTTGGCACTGAAGGGGGCGCACACAACAGATATGGTAGGATAACCTCGGGTATCCCAGGTGACCGCCTGATCCAGGTTTCCAGGCTCAGGCTGCGTTGCACCCTGGGGTCCCACAGTTTTGGTTTCTTCCGAATCCCCCCCCCTCTTGGGCTCTGGGCGAGAGGCCTAAGCACACAGGGGGGGGGTCGAGTCAATTCAATCTGTCGTAGCTCAGGGGTTCCAGAGCGCTCGACCTCTTCCAGCGAGGGGCGGGCCGAGGGGAAAGGTTCGGGTCCAGGCCAGGCCGTAAGCGATCCCATCCGCGCCCCTCCATCACCACCTCGCGACAACTTCTCCCTGATCATCGAAACGTGTAACTGTACGAGTTGGCGTTCCATCGAGGAACGGTTGGAAATTACACAAGCTCACATCTTGCCGTGCAAGAGCACCACTTGCGCGGGGACAGCATTGACGAGGCCAGCAGCTGGCTTGTTAGGCATCAGTGGAAAGGAATATTTGCAGCTGCTACCCCTGGACCAGGAGGTGGCACGCGGGGCGGAGTCGCTGTGCTGGCGCGCTTTTGGCTAGGATTGCACCATGCTGTCGGCGCAGGCGAGAGCGCAGGTGTTCTGGTCCCAGGCCGAGCGGTACTGGCTACAGTCCACCTCCCCAGCTCCACTCCTATCAACATCGCCTCGCTCTGCCTCCACGACGGTGAAGGACTGTCGGACCGAAATTTAGACATTCTGATTCAGGTCGGGGGAGCCGCAGGGACTTTGGGGCAAGAGACGACTGTTGGTGCCGATTTGCACCTTCCCCCCGAACTGCTGATGGAAAGCGGTTTCCCCGAAAAGCCCGGTGAACTTGTCAAGGCCGGTCGCGAGGCCACCTGCTACACTGGGCAAGGAGGCAAGTCGTTGATTGACTATTTTGTGGTCTCGCCAGGAGTGGGTAAAGTTGTCAAGTCTATAGAGAGAGTTACCACCACCATCATCAAAACCCACGCGCCTGTTCAGATGACCCTTTCCCCGCGCGCGTGCGATTTGCAAGCCTTGCAGTTCCGACGCCACCCTAGGATTCCGACCGTTAGGCCTATCGGCCCCCCGACCGCCCCCCCTGCCTGGGACTCGGCTGTGGACGTCGGTCACCACGTGCTGGACGCGGCTGAAAAAGGCCCGGTGCAAAAGGCGACCCGCGGCCTCGACATCTCGTATAAAAAGTTCGCCAACAAGGCTGAAATTGAACTTTCGAAGGTTGGACAAGTTGGTCTTTATTAGTATGGAAGTCGTGGCAAGCCTCCTGAGCTCCAATGGGCCCCCGTGTTTAATGCCAAGACGGACCCCCTTAGGTACCCAGAACTGGCAGCCATGAAGCGGCTGAACAACCGAGTCAGGCAGGTGTTCGGTCTTTTTCAGGCGTGCAAGGAGCAGTCCTCTGCGCGCGGCGAGTGGGCGCCGCCGCCGAAGTTTGTGCTCGACGGCATCGGCGCCTACAAGAGCACGCTTGTTGAAGCATCTGCGCTCGCCTCAGCGGCTCGTTCACCCGGAGGGTTGGACAGCACCGAGGTGTCTCTTTTTCTGGCTAAGGTGGAGAAGGAGTATGAGGAGGTGAAGGCCAAGACCCAGGAGGAGGCCAGGACGGGATGGAAAAAATGGCTCTTGTCCAACATCGACAAAGGTGGCAGGAATGCGCACCTTGCCAGGAAGCCAGCGCTAGGGTGGAAGCCCACCACCACTTTCAGCGCTGGAGGTCCTGTTATTTCCGACCCGTTGGCCCTTCTGCGCATGGAATCCGAGCGATTCAGCGGGTTGTGGAAAGCCACTGCCACCCCCCTCCTGGACCGTGGTTTCCAAGGGGTGCAAGAAGCCTTCCCGCGGCTGGAGCCAGCCTTCATAAGAGGAGTGTCGTCCAGGTACCCTGTTCGCTCGGCCCAGAGTGTGGATGGGTTCCACATGAAGCATTACAGTTGGCTCACTGATGATGCCCTCTCAGCGGCGTCCCTCCTGTTTTCCCAGGTTGAAATCCTGCCCACGTTGCCTTCGCCAATACGTGTGATCCAGGTGCCCCCCCTGAGGAAGCCCGCGGGGGGTTGGCGTCCGATCGGGTTGTTTGTTTCCCTATTCAGGCTTTGGGGGCGTCGCAGGAGGGTCTACGCCCAACAATGGGAAATGTCACACCTGAGACCTTTCTTCGCAGGGTCTAATGTTGCGGCCGCCTGCGACGTCGTATGGCGCCAGGCCCTGCGATCTGAAGTAGGTACCTCCAGAGGAGACGTCTCTGCGACGCTACTCTGGGATATGACGAAATTCTACGAGACATTCCAGTTAGATCGGCTCCTGGACCAGTGCAGGGTTTTCGGGTTCCCCATGGCCATCGCCCAGCTGTGCATCAACACATATCGCAGCGCGCGATACCTGTGCATCTCGTCCATGGTCTCTGGACCTCACTACGCTCTACTAGGAGTCATAACAGGATGTAGTTTCGCGACCACCTTCGTCAGGATCTACATGCTAGGCCCATGCGATAAGCTGATCTCCAGACTCCCAGTCCCAGTGAACATTGACCAGTATATTGGCGACACTGGGCTGAACAGCGTAGGTAAAGCGAAGGAGGTCGTTAGGAATATCAAGGAGTCCCTGGCTGCCCTCTACCAAATGTTCGTCACGGAATTAGGCTGCGAAGTTTCTAGAGACAAAGCCAATTTCGCCTGCTCCGACAATCATGTGGCTCACGAGCTCAGGGAATGTTTAGGAGAGCTTGGCGGTCCAGCTGTTGAGTGCTACTAATTTGGGGATCGACGACACGGTGGGGGGGCCTCGAAGGACCCGAAACAGAGCCAAGAAGTTCACGATCAGGTTACATAAGTTCAAGAAACAGACCAGAAAACTCAGGGGGATCGGGCAGACCTTGGGCAGGTACGCTAAAAGGATCTTCGTTTCTGGCACGCTGCCCTGCATCGAGTATGGAGCAGCAGTTCACGGAATCTCCGATCGAGAAGTTCATTTAACCAGGCAGTCACCAGGCAAGGTCCTCCGCCCGCAAGCTGCTGGCCGATCTCTCACCTCGCTCATGATTTTGGAGGATGTTCCATCCTGGAGATGCGAAGTGGCCCCGATCCTTCGATATGCGAAGGAAATCTGGGCTGCTCACTCCCGCTCGTACCCGTACAGCTTCACGTTTCAGGAGTTGAGGACGGCGTGGGAGATTGGGTACCAGGATGAGGAGGTGAAGGATTGGATAAAGGTTAAGGGCCCGCTGTCGGCCCTCAAGCTTGCGCTTAAGAGGAATCGTGGGACATGAAGGATTTTGCTACGTTGAGGAATGATTTCGAGGAGGAGGTGGTGCTGACGTTCGTCTCTCCCTCACTCCTCAAGGGCATGCTGTTCTGTGCCGTGCTTAGGTCTCTTGAGCGCGACGCGAGTAGTAAAGCGAATATGGTTTTCCCCGATTGTGCTACGACGTGCCTCGAGCGAAGATTCGGTCGAAGCGATCGACTCCGCTCGGGCGCGGCTGTGTGAAATCGTTGGTCTGCGGTGCGATCTGGACTCCGAGTCGCGCGAAGGATTGCGGGTATCAAGTCCTGTCCACTAATTGTGCGCTATGCCAGGAATGCGACGACCCGGAGCTCCACAGGTTGTGGGAATGTTCAAGTTGCCAAGACCAGCGGCTTGAAATTGTTGAACAGTCTGACATTAACCAGGCTCTTGCTGCGGAAGGGCCAGTCGAGCAGCTCTTGTACAGTCGAGGTTTGTTCGAGCACCCTGGAGATAAGCACCCCCGAGCAGCGAATGCTGGAGCGTCCGACATGAAGTGGGCCGACGAAAACAGAACGGATGCCGATTTCCAGGGGAGCATTTTCATTGACGGGAGCTGTAGCAGACATATTGTTCCTGAACTTCAACGTGCGGGGTGGGGAGCTGTGCAGTTGAAGGCAGGAGGCGAGGTGGAAGGCAGGCTGTTCGGACCCGTTCCGACCCCTCTTACGCCCCCCCCCCCCAAGCTGGAGAATTCTACAGCCTAGCTATGGCCTCCATTCAGTTTGTAGGGTCTAGTGGTATGTATTCAGACTGTCTCAATGCTGTTAAGCAGAGCGAGCAGCCACTTGAGCAGCAGCTTAGCTATTTCAGGCCCTACGCTGTAATGATGCGGTACTACCAACAAGGGTACAAATGGGTGAACGGTGTGGTGAATGTCAAAGACCATCTGGACCCTAACGAAGCGGATTTAGATTTCTCAGAGCGGTGGCGGCGACTCGGGAATACTGCTGCCGACGCCGCCGCTCGCGCTGGAGCTAACATGCACCCGTCCTGGTCAGAGCAGGACGAACAGGAGCTCCAGCGTAAGATCAAGGTTTCCAAACAAGTTTGTAATCTTGCTGCCACGCTTCTCCCACTCTGGCCGAAGCTCGACCTCTCGGAGGTCGAGCTTATCCGCCCCCCATCGTCGTGACCTCCCTGAGGCCCCACCCGCTCTTCCTGGTCACGAGTGGCAGAGACTGCGTGGGTTTTCCTGTGTTTGAACTGCAGCAGAGTCCGTCGAGGAACGAGTGTGCCCCCCCCCCCCCCGGTGAATGTGCCCAAGTGCACGGCCTTACCACCTCGTCCCTTCGCGCTCTTAATCATAGTTGTGTTTCGCTCGAGTGCAGTGGTGATGCGCTTCTCACTGTCTGTCTCAAGTGTAAATGGTACTCG